GGGTCGCTCCGGGCCCAGGTCTTCCCCGCGGCGGGCCCACGCGCCCGGCCATTGCCGCAATCCGAAATGAGGTCATCCTTTTGTCAGCGGCCACGCTCGGTTCGCTTTCCTTTCCTTTAGCGTTTCTTAAATTAAACCGCGCTCCGCGAATACTGTTGCTGGAGGCAGTGGGATCGTGTGGCGCCGCGGGCTTAAGGCGGTGAGGTGTCCGTTCCAGATGCCGGAGGAGACCCAGACACAGGACCAGCCCATGGAGGAGGAGGAGGTGGAGACGTTCGCCTTCCAGGCGGAAATAGCCCAGTTGATGTCCCTGATCATCAACACTTTCTACTCGAACAAAGAGATTTTCCTGAGGGAGCTGATTTCAAATTCGTCAGATGTAAGTTCCCTGGCAGTGGAGAATTAGGTGTTGGTTTCAGTTCACCTTGGGGCTCTGTGCTTGACATGTATCTTTATCTCTAGGCTCTGGACAAAATTAGGTATGAAAGTCTGACAGATCCCAGTAAGCTGGATTCTGGCAAGGAACTGCACATTAATCTTATTCCAAACAAGCAAGATCGCACCCTCACAATCGTGGATACTGGGATCGGAATGACGAAGGCCGACTTGATCAATAACCTGGGCACCATCGCCAAGTCAGGGACCAAGGCCTTCATGGAGGCTTTGCAGGCTGGCGCTGACATCTCCATGATTGGCCAGTTTGGTGTGGGTTTCTACTCTGCATACTTGGTTGCTGAGAAAGTGACTGTGATCACCAAGCATAACGATGATGAGCAGTATGCCTGGGAATCTTCAGCAGGCGGGTCCTTCACAGTGAGGACCGATACAGGTAGACACGTGGTAGGAAAAGTGGTTTGGTCACGTGAGTTGGGTGCTGCACTTATGGGACCCTTGAAAGTGCTGTGGAACACATAAAACTTAGGTTTGCTCAACTTGGGTAGAGTTTGAACCTTGTAGAAGCTGTTTAGGCTTACACAGGGTGTTGGGTGTGGTGGGGCTGAATTGTTTGCATTTGTTACCAATCTTTCTTTGGTCATTGAGATTTAAATTCATTCCATTTCCTCCTTTTTCAGGTGAACCTATGGGCCGAGGAACAAAGGTTATCCTGCATCTGAAAGAAGACCAAACCGAGTACTTAGAAGAAAGAAGAATAAAAGAGATTGTGAAGAAACATTCTCAGTTTATTGGCTATCCTATTACTCTCTTTGTAAGAACCCATGTTGCTGTGAAATTAATATCTGTATGTAGATAACTAAGGGCTGTGAATGATACTCCTTGGGGAGTGAGCTCAGGACCTTGCACTTGCAAGGCGGGCAGCATAAGCACTGAGCTAAATCCCCGTAAAGATC